TTTTTTGGGGGGGGTTGTTTGGGGGGGGGGGGTGGAGAGGTTTAACAGTAACTTAATTGTACGTCACAGACAGACCGCTTTTTATACAAGCAAAATTAAAGTCTCTCTTTTTTTCTGTTTTAATTAAAGACCAGTTTAGATTGTAGTTCAGCAATGTATCGTGTTGAATAGGACGTGTGTGGAATGCTGAGACACTCACTCAATAAAAGTGCTTATTGTACAAGAGGAGTTTCTGATTCTTGTTTTGAAGATGAGAGTATCATTGAAAGATGCTGGAGATCTTCAAAGTATATGTATTAAGATTTTCCCTCCCGCCCCCCCCCAATGCAAGGCTGTTTAAATTTGGCATATTTCATTGCAAAATGTGTACGCCATCTGCCACTTTGCAGGCCACTTTCAAGGGTTGCTGCAGTGTGGTGTCACTAACAGGCACTTCCAGCTCAGGAAGGAGATGTGGTTGGGTGCCGCGGTGGTCAAGCAGCTGTGGGACTTGACCAGCTGGGTTTTCCATGCTGAACAAAGTTGCTTGGTACTCTACCAGGAATTAGTTTGTTAGGTCTGATGCTTTTGAGGATGGGATCCTTTCCTTTTTCATGTCCTTGGGCCAAGATATTCATCATTGGAATCTCACAGGGCTGTGCCTCAGAAGTTGAAGTTTTCACCTGTCTGCTGGTCATTTTTTATTCTGAAATACAAGGTAAGTTTTATCATTTGATCCCGTGCTTACAAAATAATCCAAGACTTTATAGGAAAAAAATCTAATCCTTTCACAGTATTTGTATCTAGTAGAGAATATCACAGCCTGACTACCTATATACAGAACATTCTGTATAAAGAGTAGATTTTCAGGAATAAGACAATAAAATTGTGTTGTGGTGCAGATCTTAAAGCAGCAGACAGATAGCTTAGGTCCCAAATATCATAGTGCCAGAAGTCTCTAATGTGCCTCTAATTGTGGTGGTGATGATACCTGCATTGGGGGAGAGTAAAGAAGACCTTGAAAGCTTTTGTGGGATAGAGTCAGAAATGTATCTGTTGCCACTTAGTACCACAAGCAAGAGTTTTCAAAGGTGTTATCAGTAGAAACTCGCAAAACTAGGGTGAGAAATAGGGAACCAGTTCTCCGGAGGCTTTGATAGGTGCTTAGGACTCAGTTGTGTTACACTTTCTGGTGCCACTGAGAATGGGTATTCTACAAGTGGGAGGAGGGAAGAGACCTTGCCTCTTGCTATCTCTCACACTAAGATCCAGCAGGGTTGTCATGAGGTAGAGTTGCACCGATTATAAAGAAAATTGATTGTATCAGAAATTGGCCTGATACCAGCCACAAATGCCCATGCATGTGCGCAGCTGCAGCACAGCATGTAGGCAGTGAGGAGCACAGCTTGGCAGTGTGGAGAGCTGCACGCAGCTGGTAAATCTGTTGTGGTGAAAGGGAAGCGGGGAGGGAAGCGGCGTGGGGGTGCAGATGAATGCCCCCTGCGGTGAGGGAGGGAGTGAGGCCAGGCCTGGGACAGGGGCTGGGGCAGGTGCTTGGCCGAGAGGAGCGTGGGACGGAGCCGTGGGTTGTCCGGGGGGACGGGGCAGCTCCCACTGCTGTATGTGCCCCTGGATCTGTGTGGGGGGAAGGATGGGGGGCCTGCAGCTGGAGCTGGGCTCTTCCCAGCACATAGGGGGGAGGGGGAGGGATGTTGAGCCAGGGCTCCACTCGGTGTGGGCAGCAGCAGTGCTGGGAGTGGGACTACAGGTGGGCTACTGTGAATTCCGGGGTGGCTGCAGCACCCCCCCCCCCCCCCCGTAGCCCTCCATCCAGTGTTGTTGCTGCTGCTGTTCCCAAATGCAGCTTGGCTCAGCTCCCATCAGGAAGAACCTGGCACAGCCCCAGCTCACAACTGCAGCCCACACCCTGCACAGATCTGGGGGCACACGCCCCCCCCCATTGCCTTTCCAGGTTGCGCACATTGGCAGGACCTGCTTCCCAACCTGCGTCCCCCTGGATGAAACAGACTTACCAGCTGTATGCAGCTGTATCAGAAATCGGATCAGTATCGACTGATGTGCCTCCTTAAAAATCTGTTATCAGTATCAGCCCCCAAAATCTCTACTGGTGCACCCCTAATGAGAAGCATTGCAGAGGATGCAGATGGACATCTCTGAGTTAGCCATAACACTGTGCGTTTGGCACATGCTAGGGTGTTTATGATATGCTAAGATGTTTATGCCCCAAGCTGAAGGCTTGCAAGTAGGACTTCTTGCAAGAGTACATGCAACTGGCTGCCTTCTTCATAACACCACCTCTTTGCTGCCTACCATCTGTGTCATGCCCTGAAAATATTGTGACTCACTGCCTCAGTCTAGTGGCCCCTGGCCTTAGGCTCAGAAATGTGAATGCATACAGTATGCCCTGGGTTATCAACAGCCACCTACTCTTAGTGCCTCATGTGAGCCAGGAAGTTGCCTTGCAGTGCGGTTCCAAGGCATGAGGAAGAAAAGGTAGAAAAAGATTCATCTGTGTTCCCCAAGAGTGGAAAAAGGCTCCCTGTTGGCACCTCAACATTGTGGGTGCAAAAAAAAAAATGCATCTTTGCTGTCATGGGAACAGATTGAAAGACAATTCCTGCTTGTAACTTTTTCCAGCGGAGGCATCCGGACACTCAAGGACGCTGACCAACCTCTGGGAAATTTGCAAGTAAGAAATAAAGCAACAAAGGAGTAAATGTTCAGAGGAAGCCTGTGTGAACTGAGGAAGGGGAGGGGTGGAGAGGGTTTCTCAAGGCTAAGGAGTAAGAGAGAGACAAAGATAGTCTGTGACCACAGAGCTGGCAGAGCAAAGACTTACTGTAAATTGGGAAATGGCAGAAATGGTCAGGGAACAACAGAAGCAGCTGATAGAGAAGGTGAACAGACACATTATTGCTGGGGTGCATGCACTTTTGAAGCTTCCACTCGCCTTCACACCAGCTTCATCCCTCCAGACTCTGGAGATGTCCTTCTAGCAGAAGCAGCAGTTTCCAGATCCAGCTCCTTCCTATATGGTAACAAAAAGTGGGTTTGGGGGAGATGACTGACTACCTTTGGTCCCTGTAACCCAAATGTGACATTGTTTCCACATTCTACCTCTTCCAGTGTCTCAGTGGTTACCAAGAAAAAAGGCTGGAGTAGTTGGAAGTTTACCTGATGAAAACTGTTTGAACTGAATATTTCCTTGTTGCATTTTTTTCAGCCCCCACCATAATGCTGCTGGCACAGATTTGGCTTCATATGTCTTATGTTCAAAGTAGTTGATTTTGACCCAGAGCCAAAGTGCTGCCATGCATTGCAAGTGTAGTATGCCCCACCCACCCCTTTTTAAGATTAATAAAGAGGTACAGACCATGTGTAACCAACCCTGCACACTGAAAAACAGGCTACAGTGCTGCCCTATTGCGTGCAGTGAAGGTACATCCATCGCCTGTGCTTCCAGAAATTCATTAATCTATACGAGGCCTGTGAAACACACTCATGGGCTGTGGCACTGTACCAGTGCTGCCAGACTGACTCCCATATCCCACAAGTCACAATGGGCTCCTCAAATATAAAGTAAAGGACCCTCTCCTTGAAGGAGGTGCACAAGGTCTCTTTGATAATGCACTACGGGAGATTGTATTTAGGAAAGGGTGTCCTGCAGGTTGTGCCCAACATCCTCAAAGTGTCTGAACCTTTGCTTTCCATCACCAGACTCTTTCCTTTGTTTGCACTGATGTTGTGCAGCACACAGGTCTAATTCAGAGCCAGTATTGCTCCACAACATCTAATCTTCCCAGCATCAATAGCCACCCACCCACTCTTCAGTGTCTTAAAGGCATGCTGTCATCCTGCAGCTGTTGTGGCAGGAGTTAAGCAGTTCTGTCCCAGGATGCAAGCATCCAGTGAAAGGCTTCATCGGCCATGAATAGAGAGGTATCTATTTAGCTGTTTTAGTCTGAAGTCAGGCAGAAGGCAGGGCAGGGTGGCATCTTAGATACTAAATGTTTCAGAACAGCATAAGGTTTCATGGGCAACAGCTTAACATCTGATGACGTAGGCTGTCACCTATGAAAGCTGCTACTTCTTTGCATCAGTTAGGCACCTATACACGTGCAGCGAGGCTGTTCCAACATGCTTTAATTACAGCACGTCGGAGCAGACTCAATTAATCAAAATTGCTGGAGCATAGTAATTACTGTGCTCCAAAAGACTACATACAGCATTATGTGTATCAGCATCCCCATGCTAAAAAATGGTGGTAGGGGCGCTTTAACTAAAGTTAATTCCATCTTTAGTTAAATCATCCCCACCGCCACTTTTCAGCCTGGGGACACTGATGCACATGATGCTTCCCGCACTTTAATTAGAGCAGCTCTTGGAGCCACTCAAATTAAAGTGTTTCCCCCCCACCCCCAATACACACACACGCACACACTCAAGAGCACATGTATAAACACCTATATAAAGTGCTACCCTGTCCTGCCTTTATCAGCCATGGTAACAGAGGGGAAGCAGTATGCCAAAATAATTGTTTGAGTATCAACAATGGTGTTGTAGAAAATCCTGGGAGCAGGAGTTCTTCCAGGCCACCCATATTAGTGTAGGTAAGCATACCAGGATAGTCAATCAGGTCTTGGAGCTCCTAGATGTTGTTCCCTGCCTGCCCATGGCCCTATCCCATCCACCCTCCCACCAGCTTTGTCTGGCATCCCACCATGGTGGGGGCAAGGTGGATGTGCCCAGGGTGCCCAGGTAGTGGGACCAGGGGCCAGCAGCTGTAGCAGCAGGGCATGCACCTGCCCCCAGGCACTGACAGTGGAGGCTGCCAGGAAGCCAAGTCCAGCTGCCATGCCACCTCTGCCCTGCCACACTGCCCCATGGACTACAGCTCCTGGCATGCAGGAGAGCCACATGCAGGGACACAGCAGGCTGTGCTAAGCAGCACCTCCGGACATGGGGGTGGTGGGACTGGCCACACATGCCATGGCCTGGGCTGCCCCCAGTATCTGGGCCAGATATGTCTGAAGATCCTGCCACAGGCTACCTAGAGTCATGCTGCTGTCCAGATCTGACCCATGGGCCATATTTTGCCCACCCCTGGCATAAGGCAATAATGCCTTTTAACAGTAGTATATGCCTTCACAGTGGCCTCCCCAGCTAATCTGTCCACACCAAAATGGTCATACACTGAACATTAGCAATCTGGATTGGGGCACAGCTGAATGGCTATGGCTCCATGCTCCCAAGTAGATGGGAAGAGTGTCCATAGTACTGTAGTTTGCAGCTTCTGCGTGTGGTGCCAGGAGGTGGGTGGAGGACCCACAGGACAATCACTGACTTATGGCAGAGTAATTTACTGTGTCTAAATACACATGTACATGGTGACCTCAGCTGCAAATTGCACCTGGTCAGCCCAGACAGACTCCTGGTTGCTGCCTAGCCACAGAGTTCTGCATGTGCAATACCCTCATTCCCCAGCCAGCCCCTTCATCACCTGATGCCACCACCTCGAGCTCAGGGCTAACCGCCCCCTGCCCCCTGTGCCTCTTTTCAGCCTGTCACTGCTCCACCCTGGCTCAAATTGCTGCTGTCCTAGGCACATGTGTAAACATTGTGCCCGGGAGCAGTTTACTCAGGCTCAAACTGCTCCGGAATTTATTGCTGCACATTAATTACATGTACGGACGCACCCACTGAGTGCTAATTAGTACCAAATTAAAATTCTTTCCTCTGTCACAGGTATTGTCTGGATAAATTCTCTACTGACTGGGCAATGCTTTAACACTATTCTAATGAAGCCTTAAGAACCTAGATTGAAAGCTGTACGAGCGTTATGGGCTTATCTGTCATTATTTCAATCCCTTCCATCTGAGACCTAGCTCTTTGAATGATTGGTTGCTGAGTTGTTATATCTGGGGCAAATACAACAACTACTGCAGCCATCTCTACCCCACATGGTGTGTGAGAAAGACAAGTGGAAGGTCCAGGCTTTTATTACTGAAGCAGAGGCAACAAGGATTTTCAGATGTGTTGTGAACTCCGGCTGTGCTGGCATTTTCAGTTGTGAATAGCTGAAAAGGCTTTTTTTCTTTCAACAATCTCCTATAAATTAAATAAACAATTTTAGAAAACTTGTTTGCGTTACCAGTCTAGATCTAGACTATACTATTGAAGTCTTACTTCCTGTTCAAGTTATGTGGCTCACTGCTGAGTTTACAGTGGCTACCTTCCAGAAACCTAAGGGCTTCACCTGTGTCCAAATGATGTAGGCCTTTAGCAACTAGGAGTACAGTATATCACAGGCCTTTCTTAGAATCATAGAAAATTAGGGTTGGAAGGGACCTCAGGAGGTCACCTAGTCCAACCTGCTGCTCAGAGCAGGACCATCCCCACCTAGATTATCCCAGCCAAGGCTTTGTCTAGCTGGGTCTTAAAAACCTCCAAGGATGGAGAGTCCACAACCTCTCCAGGTAACCTGTTCCAGTGTTTTACTACCCTACTAGTGAGAAAATTATTTCTAATATCTACCCTAACCTCCCCTTGCTGCAACTTCAAACCATTGCTCCTTGTTCTATCATCTGCCACCACTGAAAACAGTCCAGCTCCATCCTCTTTCAAACCCCACTTCAGGTAGTTGAAGGCTGCTATTAAATCTCCTCTCAGTCTTCTCTAGACTAAATTAGCCCAATTCCCTCAGCCTCTTCTCATAAGTCATGTGCCCCAGCCCCTTAACGTTTTTCATTGCCCTCCACTGGACTCTCTCCAATTTGTCTGCATCCTTTCTGTAGTGGGGGCCCCAAAACTGGACACAGTACCCCAGATGTGGCCTCACTGGTGCTGAATACAGGGGAATAATCACTTCTCTTGATCTGCTGGCAACACTCCTACTGAAGCAGCTCAGTATGCTATTAGACAAGGACACACAGCTGGCTCATATTCAGCTTATTGTACACTGTAATCCCCAGGTCCTTTTCTGCAGAGTTGCTGCCCAGCCAGTCAGCCCCCAGCCTGTACTGGTGCATGGGGCTGTTGTGTCCGAAGTGCAAGACTTTGCACTTGTCCTTGTTGAATGTCATGAGATTTCTTTTTGGCCCAGTCCTTTGTGAATCACTAGGCCACCAGCAGCCAATGGGCTCGGACAGACATTGGGATGAGAATGACTTGTGAATAGCTGCAGCTGAACAAAGGGAATTCAGAAAGGTCAAAGTAGGACTAAAGAATATTTCTTCACCTTATTCCTATGCCTGCTGGGTGCAGTATTACCCAGTGCTGACAGAGGGAAATTAATCAGGTTTAAGATCGCATTTTTCCCTGACAGGGACCAAAAATGTGTAGGAAACTGACATCTAGCAGCCTACCTGGACATTCGTAGTAGGAGCTGGAGGATGGATATGGCTGAGCTACTTCATGGAACTGTTAAGTCAAATCCTTAGAGATGAATGCCAAAGCAAAAATTCACATTAGGACACATACAGATTTCTACCCTGAGCAACCAAGTCAACCTCCTAAGGCCTCCTAAGGTAGTCAGCAAAAAGGTTTTAAGTACCAGTTTAAAGCTTTGCCCCTTTTCTGGAAACACTTTTGTATTTCCTTGCTTGTTGAAGACTCCAAACATCACCAGTGTCATAGTCCACTATAATTTTAGGGTATTTTCTATGTCACAGAATACCCTGTGGGACTCTTCAGAAAGCCATAGAGTACCAAGAGCTCTTTTTAGAACAAAAAATACTGTAAAATAAGTTTTATGTCCTAATTTCCTTCCATAGTTTGGGTTGGCCATGTATGCACCAGATTTTTTTCCAAAATTCCACACCATTGCTTCCAGTGGTAGGGAGGTCATGAAAATCTTAATCCCCACCATCATCTATACTTGTTCCAGAGAGCACAGGAGCAAAAGCACTTACCCTTGTCTCTACTAGTGTTTTCATAGATAGACAATGCTGTTGTAGGCCAGCCTTTATGGGCATGTTTTATTGCACAAAGCTGTGCTGAATTTGATTCCCTTCTAGTTTATCAGTTTGT